AATCATTACCATCCACCTTCAACAATGTGATTGGCTCTTTCGTCAAGTAAGATTTAGGAATGTCACATCCAACCATTTCTCTCTTACTAATAACCACTTTGAAAATCCTTTCGATTGATTTTCAAATTTTCTTTTCAACCGTTCATAAAGATGATAAATATAAGAAGAATTATTTTCAAGAGTTTGAGATGAATGATTCCACGAGATGGGTGATTGCACTTGTAACGCATGAAAATCAATTAAAATAATTTTCATTGTTCTATGTGTTTCTGCGAAAGCCTCTAAATGATTGTTGATGATAATTTTGAGTAGTTAGTTTCCGAAACAATTTGATCGATGTGATGCTGAGAGAGCATTCTTTTCATTTTTTCTCGCCTATTTTTTGAAGATTAAGGTTATTGTGTCGTAATTCTGTGTGTATGAATTAACACATCTCGTCATACAATTTGCCCATCATCATGGTAGTTGTTTCAATATCGATATTATTATTATTGACTACTTCCATTTAGAAACACCTACAAAATAATGATTGGCTAATTAATATTTGACAATATTGTTTTTGAAATTCCAATTTCAGTTTACTGAACACCAGACGAATAAGCATTCGGAAAAACATGCGACAAGCCTCTGGTTTTTTAAATCGTCTCTCACTGCAAGGGCTGTCCTTCCGATAATTGTTGGATGGTAAATTCTCCATCCAAAGATTCAAAAACTTTCACATGAATACATTCGGAATCACTCACTTGAATTTTCAGTTTATGATTCACACCCGCCACCACTTGAATTTCATGAGACAACACTTTAAAGTTTTTTGAAGAATAGTTCATTAGCCTTTCGGAGAGTGATAGTAGCAGTGGTACAATCTTTTCTAACACTCGTTGTTGCTCCTCTTGGGAAGCACTTGAATATCCTCCAGCCATTTCGGAATAATTTGGTAATGATGGTGTTGATGATAATTTTTTGTTTGATGATGTTTAGGAAGGAAGGAGACGAATGCCAAGAAGTGCCAAAAAGGAATTAAATCAAAGAATTTGACTTCAAAGAAAAGAGAATCAAGCCATTAGATGACAAAGGTTGGACGAAGAGCGCCACCACGTTAGATCAATTTCGTGAATTTTCCAGGCCTTCGTTTTCAATGATTGAGCTATCGAGGAAGAAAGATTATGAAAGAAATCTCACACGAATTTGGGTTATTCATAGAACCATTAAGCAAATCAAACTGTGAGGCCAAGAGGATTTCATGGGTAGCAAGGACCATCTTGGCTATTCCTTGCCGCAGGTTTGATGGTGTTTCGAAGACGTAATCAACAAGAACAGTTTGGTTAATTTTAAGGAACAAATGGGTTTGTGGGATTTTCTGCATATTTTGACAATTGACTTTATTCAGCAGAGTCCCGAGCATTAATTAAGATTTGAGAAGATAAACTCCAAAAAACGCTCAGGGGAAAAAAGGAGAAAACCAATAAACGTAAGGAAGCAGGAAGGATGAAGGCAGAGACGAAAACTCCATGATGTGAAGTCACATTTAAGCAATTGCTTGATAAATCCATGAAAATTATGATAACATGATAGATTAAATTAATGATTAATACAATAATTAAAATATTGGATTAGCTCAATAAAATCCTTGTCGAAAAGATTCGAATCAAGGTGGACCTGCACTGTCACAATGTTCTTCCTTACCACAAGAACATTCTGATCAGCGAAAAAGGTACCTGAATAAGCTTAAGAAAGCAAGTGGGTGGGAAGTCCTAAGCAAATCAAAGCGTGAGAATTTGCAGAAAATTTTTTGAGGATGAAAATATTTTTCGTTGCTAAACCAAACTCTTTTAATATTTACAATCGAAACATTCATGCCCTTCACTTCGTTCAGAACATATCATGCACTAAACTATAATTAATTTATTACCTTGACTGTGCAGTTATGAAGGAAAAATATGATAGTGGAGACCTTGTGATGGTTCTTTTGATGTTCACAACAAATAAATTCAGGGATGGGTTTATTCGATGATAAACGTTGTTCGATGGTTTTATGTACATTATTTACAAGCCGAACGTAAGATACGTAGTGACTTCCTAGCAGGCACCCCGGAAGTAAAGGTGTTTAAACTGCTCACGATAACAGCAGCAACCCCTGGGATTCGAACGCTGGACCAGTTGGCTGCCACAGTTCCAGAAAAACCACTCGGCCATATGCGAGCAGCATGTTCACAACAAATAAATGAACCCAAATATTGTTTCCAGAAATTATAATTTTCTTCGTTCCAATATTTTGTTTGTGAATCTTCACGTTTAAAGCGCTTGATTTTTTCCTTCATCAACCAAGATTCAGGAATGTGACATCCAAAATATTCATATTCAAGTCTCTGATTTTTCAAATCTTTGAAAAACTTCAAAGCTTCATCGAATGAAATCTCTGTTGTTGGATCTTGTTTTAAATAGACTTTGAAAATCTTATCCGAAATGACAGAAATTTATTCAGCAAAACCTATGAAAAAATGGGAACTTTATACGCTAAAGGTCAATATTTGAGTTTTGCCTCCAATATGAGTCAAGTCAATGCTGTTGATACCTATGTCATTTACGTGAAGTAGAAAATAACTCCGCGGAGTTTGAAAGACTATAAATTTCGTTTGACTTTTTCGATCTGATTCGACTACTACCAAAAACAAAATGTCATTATGATATCATCACATTCGTGGCAATCCTTGTAATCTTTGCTTTTTCATCACCGATAATATCATCATCACTCCGCGACCGATCATTGCCACCACATGCACACACACCGATTGAAAAACAAGAGACAACACTGACCATGGATCCAATGCAAGAAGAAATGTTTGACATCAATCAATTGATGAAATACAAGTTGCCTGACTCCTCTCGAACCTTTTTAGAGACTAGTTCTTCACTTCAAAATTTTGTTGTCCATGACCCGGGAGAAGCGACATCTCTCTCCAGAAAAGCTTTCAATGCAGATTTAGATGCAAGGCAAAATGTTTCATTCCTCTTCTATGTTTCTAACAATATGAGTAATGATGGGCTTTCCAATATATGGTGTGAAAATTTTAACACTCCATGTGTGACCATGTCACAAATTTTCACTCGACTTGATGACCTCATGAAAATATTCATCAACAAGGACAGCATCTCGAACAGCAGTGGTGCTGTTTTCAACGTTCATGTGTCGATTGTACTTCTCAATGATACGAATGCTAATGTTTTTTGCACTTCCGACTTTGTATTAGTGACACCTCAATCTCCAAAGTTCAATTATTTGTTTGAATTTTATTCATATCGATACTACTCAAATGTTGTGATTCTTCAAAAACTGCAGTGTGTGACACCCCTCATGAGTGTTCGTTCAGATATTACTCGAATATATTTTCATGAACTAGAATTGACACTTCGAGTATATTCCAAACCTGGACTTAGTTTTGAAACGTACAATTGTTATATTTTGAATTCTTTATTTAGCATTGGATATAACACCGATTTTGCAGATACTGCAAATGAAAATGTAACCAAAGCAAAGGATGTAATTTTTGAATATGTTTTTTCTCAAGAACAATTAGCGAGCTCGTTTTACTTTGGAAATTTTGAAAATGCACATTTCGGAAATGTAACGTTGACAAATGTTGTTTCATCTAGTTTCAGAAATATCAACCATTTAAAAATGATGGACTGCATGATTCCCAAAGGAAGTTATTATTTCTTCAACTCAATTACTTTACAATTTCTGAACCTAAGAGCGAAAACGATGGCTATTAAAATGAGTAAAGTGGATTCCTGTGAGATTGCAAATTCCATGTTTGCACTTTCTGGTTACTATTTGCCAATTATTTTAGCCGAATTTGGGAGAGAACTTGTGGTTCTTAACGTGGTTGTTTGGAAAGTCGACCAATTTATGGCTGTGAATGCATACGAAACTGTATTGTTCAAAGAGTTGAATATATTTAATTGTTCAGTGGACCTGAATGCACCAAGATTGCAACGATCTGTCATTGATGTGATTGCAACTTCTACTGTCACTATTGAAGACTCTCAATTTTCATACAATTATGGGCAATTTGGAGGAGGTAAGTCATCATTTTGAATTCAATTCTGATCATGTTCTTTACGATATTTTAATATTCAGCCTTTTTTTTCGAAACTCTCGCCACCTTACGAATCAATAGTAGCACCTTTATTGGATGTCGTTCATCACATAGTGGTGGTTCCATATTCATTTAAAGCTTTTCTGAAAATTCCTTCATGCAACCTCACTCCTTTATTCGCAATTCCAAATTTATCAAAAATTATGCACAAGTCTATGGAGGTGCTCTTTATCTCACCAGTGCCAAACGATTTTCCCTTTTAGAGAATGAATTTTCAGAAAATACAGCACAACTTTCAGGAGGCGCTGTTTTTATTTCACGTGATGCCTTGACAGTTCCTTGAATGGATATCTCTTTGTGAAAAATCAAGTTCTCTTCAATGTGGCCACAGCCATCGATAAGAATATCATGTACAAGCTTCATGACGGAGCTGGTGGTGCCATTTCAATTCTTTACAATGCAAAAACTTTTTCTGACATGTATGGTCAAGCTCGATTTGTTGGTAATAGAGCGTCCCGAGGAGGAGCATTCTATTTAGGTGGAAGATTTAAAGATTTACAACTTTTTGGAGGAAAATTGCAATTTGAAGCAAATGATGCAAGTATGGCTGGTGGAGGAATATTTATTGAAATGTCACAAGGTTTTCCACCCTCTTCGTTTCTAGAATCAGGAATTTTGTTTAAGGAGAATAAGGCGGGAATGGCTGGAAATGATTATTCCACATCGTGTCAAAACTTGATACTTGATAGAGTGAGCTTGGAGGAAGTCGAGATTGGGAAACCTACTTCTATTGGGATGAACATGGTTGCTTCCTTCAATCAAAGCCTGTCTCTTGGTTTCGAAAAACTTGTTCTCTACCATCCATCCCTCCTTTTGAAAATTAACAAGTTGGCATTTAACACAGTCATATTCACACCCTATTTAACAAGCAACAACATGTCACAGCAAAATGTATTTTCTGATCCTTTAAGTATTTTCGTTGTAACAGAGATTGACAAGATGGTTCAATTTAATTTAACTTTGAAACCATGTGAGGAGGGATTTCGACTCGTAGATCAAGTCGTGGATGGAAAAGTAGTATACAGTTGTGAACCACATGTGGATACTCTGACATTGATTATTTCGATTGTAGTACCTCTTTCAGTTGTCATGTTATTGGTGGGAATTGCTTTAATTTATGGAATCGTGTTTGTCATTGCCAAACTACGACTCTTGAGGAGAAAAGAGAAAGCAGAAAGAGACTTGGAAAGAAAACTCATGGATAAGAGAATGGTATTTAATTTGAGTGAGGATGAGATTCATAGTCAAGTCCATACAGAGCTTGACGCGAACTCGACTACTCACTTGAACCATTCAAAGAGTGGTCGCCCCAAAAGCCAAAAATCATCCACAGAGATGGACGCACCTCTATTGGAAAAATCCTTCTTGCTTGAACCGATTGAATATCTCAATAAGAAAAGCCAGACTCCTTCTTTCATAATTTCTGTTGATAAATTGCAAATTATAAAGAAAATAGGAGAAGGAGGCAACGGAGTAGTCTACCTCGCGAAATGGATGAATCTGGATGTTGCCATAAAATCATTGAAAGCAGCTGATGATCAAGAGTTTGAAAAAGAGGCCTTAATATTGAGTAATTTGAGGCATCCAAACATTGTACCCTTCTATGAATTGTGCATAACTGAGAATAGTCGATATATTGTGACACAATATCTGGCAAAAGGAAGTTTAGATAAGGTGCTATATCAATGCAGAATAGGCAAAGAAGTGTTGACACTCAAGCAAAGAATTGAAATTTTGTTAGGAACCTCTCATGGAATGGAGTATTTGCATTCTCTGAGACCTGTCATTGTTCACAGAGATTTGGTAAGTTGTTGTTCTTCATCAAGAGATTATGCGCTTCACACTATTGGCTCTTTTCGTGAATATTTCACCTTGCAATTAATGTTGCTCACATGATTATATTCATCATTCAAACACACACACTCTCATAGAAACCTGCAAACATTCTTCTTGATGAGCACAACACAAGCAAGGTGTGTGACTTTGGTCTTGTGAAACTCATTGGCAGTACGCTTCAAACAACCATGACCACCAACATTGGCACCATGTTGTATGAGGTATTATTCGTGTGTTTGGTGAAGGAAATTCGGAACGATTGAGATCCACAGTGAAATCCTATATTGAATTGATGAAACAATGTTGGGATCAAGAGCCTCGACAGAGACCCGAGTTCTCCGAGATTACTCAACTCTTACAACAAATTCTCGGATTGCTTTGATTATCAACTAACCATGCAGACCATGCAAACAACTACATGTTGTTGTTGGTGGTGGATGGATGTGAGTGTACACGTTGTTGGTGAGAATTAGAAGATCATTTGAGGGTTGTGTTCATCACGAATCGTAATTTTTTGAATTGCGCGCTGTCCATTACAGGAAGTTTCTTTCCAATTATTTTTTTCTCCTTTTTTGATTTTACATCAATCCCATAACACCTTGCAATTTTTTCTTCAATTTTTAACTATCTCTTATGCATTCAGACCATCACTGCCACTCTTCAGCTGATCTCGAACACACCCAAAAAAACAACATCATGAGCAGTACCCTTCTTCTGGACTCTCTCTCGAAAGTCTCCCAAACATTTGGTAACAAGAAAGATTTGTCTTGTTTCCAATTTGAATGACCATCAAACGAAACAGCACACATCTTCCTCGAATCACCTCTTTCATCATCAACCTTTTCACAAACAACACTCTTCCACTTCACACTATCAAGTCTCATACTTTCAGAGCAACAAGAGTTTGAAGTTTGCGTCGTCGTCCCTCAAAACTTACTTTTCAAAATCTTCTTCACTGATACAATCTTCCTCTAATTCCACCAATGTTGACCATAACAACCACAGCCAACTCACCAACAATTACAGCATTGGGACCGTGTATGAAATTGCGGATCTTCCTCTTTCGCCAATCACTCTGAAGGTAAGTTTCCTTTTCAAGAAATGAATTCTTTTGGGATGTGACCAACTTTTTGAAAATCCATGATTACGCACGTTCATCTTGCCTATTCATTTCCACCTCCTATACAATCAATGTAATTAATCATACTGTTGACTCTCTAGATGATCATGTCCTTTGGCAAAAACATCAATCAACAAACACTTCAAGGAGCTTCTTATTGGTTGAAGGACGAACTGCCGAAACGTTTAGCTCGACAAGTCAAACAATTAGATACACTACCTCATGGTTTGAATCTCATGCCATCGATTCGAAAAGTTCGAGACTTGTACTTGTCAAATTTTAATGATGTCATGGCGTACAATGAGTTAATGTCGACTAGAGGAAAAGATGAAGGATTGCAATTTACAAGAAAATTGCAAGACATTTATGATCGACATAAATCGACCATCATTAATGTGGCAAAGGTAAGTATATTGATCTTCATCGTTTTTATGGATTGGTTATATTACAACAAATTTCATAATTTCTCATCACACTGCATATCTCTCATGAATCGATGTTTAACAACATGACCTTCAAATGTCATCAACTTGATTTAGGGAGTCTACGAACTGAAAACCAAAATGAAGGAATCCATCTTTAAGAATTCTCCAGCCTTTGATTTCTCAGAATATGCAGATCTTCATGCCGCTCTCGACAGTTTTCACATCAACAGAATTGGAATGCGTACCATCATTGGACAACACTTGTGTCTTCATGAACAAGCCAACCAACCAAGGAAAGGTTTCATTGGTCTCGTTGAAATGGAAACCAATCCAGCCCTTGTAGCACAACAAGCGATCGAACATGCCTCTGATTTGTGTCGAATGACTTTTGGCACTGCACCTCAAGTGATTATAAAAGGAGACACAAGTATTGTCTTTCCCTATGTTCCAAGTTATTTGTATTATATCTTGTTTGAATTGCTGAAAAATTCAATGAGAGCCACAGTTGAAAATCATAATCATTCCAATCTGCCTCCCATCATCATTACGATTTCAGCTTCCAGTGACATTAAGAATCGAGAACACGTATGTGTGAAAATTTCAGACGAGGGAAAAGGAATTCCAAGAAGAGATTTGCATAAAATTTGGACTCACCTCTATACCACAGCTACCAATAATGTGGATTTGATGAATGATGACAGTTATTCAGAGTTGAACGGACCTTTTTCAGGATTTGGCTACGGTCTTCCTCTCTCTCGTTTGTATGCTCAATATTGGGGAGGTGATCTTCAACTCATGACAATGGAAGGGAATGGAACCGATTGCTACTTGTATTTGCATTGTTTAGGAGAGACTGAGGAGGTCATCCACTAAGGTCTCTCTTAATGTTGTATTTTTATTACAAACTTAAATGTAAATAAACAAAAGATCAATCAATGATCATGAAATCAAAGTCTCATCATTTAATTGATTGTTGATAACCCATATTTCTTTTACTTCTTCAATCTCTGTGCAGATATGCTCTTAATCATTTCATAAAGTGGGTAAACCTTCTCAACCTTATTTGTCATTGAAGAAGCTTTCATCATGATCGCATACCCCTTATAATAAAATTCAGGATCACACAACAAATGGAATTCAACATTACAAAACTTGCCATTTGATTGCCACAACAACATTGAGTTTTGTCTGCGTTTCTCATATTGGTATTTAAGATCTAAGAGTGTGAATTTTTGTGAAGAATTTTCGCTCTGAGTATTGAACAATGCAATACCATCTCCACTCAACTTGATTCCAACATAGGCTTGTTCTCTGTTGACATTGTCACTGCATTCCTCAAAGAAGTCTTCATCTCTAAGGCTCATTCTCTTCTTGAATTGTTCAGGTGTTTCATGTGGAATGTTTGGAACTGCATATACAAGTTTGATGCTTCTCTGTTTCATCAATGAATCAGTAATGGTGAATCTTACTGTCAATGGATAAGGCATATAGTAAGGAATCATTCTTATTGCTTTACCAGAACTAGCGACAAGTCCCTCCAATGGGAAGGATGACTCGATTTTGTAATCCTGTGAAGTAGCTCCAGCTCCAATATTGAAATTATTGCAATACACATATTTTCCATGAGCATCACTCTTTTCAATGACTGTCAATAACTCTCCATGATGTACTCCGACAGTTCTTGCAACAGTTGCTGCTTGCCAATAGGCTGCCACAGTGTCTTGCATTGGCTTCCAAGTTTGGTCATGATCTAAATACTCCACAAGCAATTTAGTTACAGAAATTGGAGATGACGAAGTGTTGGTAAAGGTAAAGGTGTGAATTCCGAAAGAAACTGATTTGTTTCCTTGGTTCACCTCAAACACACCATTTCGATCAGCCAAGCTTGACATTGATGGAGGATTAATTTTCACACATGAAGTTCCTTCCTCTGAGTATTCGACAAGTAAACTTGGATCGTTGTTGAGTTGTTGAAGTGGTCCCATTCCAGTGATGACTGGTGTGAATTTTTCAGAAATAACTTTGGAATAGTATTGAACCAATCCTTGTAAATCCTTTGTGCTTGTTGGTTTTGTTGAGGAAGAGTTTTGTGACGAAGATTGAACCTGTTCAGAGGTTGATGGCTCTTCTTCAAGTGGCGCAACCACTCTTTCAATGACTTGATGAGATGGATTTTTCTTTTTGTGTACTTTAGCATCTCGTTCACACAAACCAATTTCACAAGTAATGCATTCCATGACAGAATCAATTTCTTCTTCCAAATCTTCATGACAAGTTTTACAATGCTTGGTTGCTTGTTGTTTTTCAAGTAATTTCAAACGAGCTTGGAGTTTGTACTTTTCAACATCACCATCTTTAGGAAGAACAGTTCCTGTTCTTGTAGGAATTGGTTCATATGCAGCATACCCATACATTCTCAATGTACCTAACAACAAGCTTGTAGAGGATTCAAACTTCCAGTATCTCGCCTTAAATCCAGTTGGAGAGTCATCAATTTCAAAACGATTCAAATAAGGATAACGTTTGGAGTTCTCAATCTTTTTGTGGAATGGAATCCAAGGTTCATTTGGTCGAATCTTGCAAAATATTTTCACATCACTGAAATAATATTCTTGATCGGCACCATCGTACAAACAATGAGTATAATATTCAAAATATTTGAAAAAGTGAATATGTTCAAAATTCACAATTAAAGTTCCTCCACGACAACACACACCATATTCAGCAGTGTCATCCAATAATCCTTCTAATGTATTTTCAGCAAATGTATTATCATATGTTGGAAGTAACTTATTATCGCGCGTTTCATCATATTCATTGGAAATGGAAATACTGCTTGGAAGAATGGCGTTAACTTCACTTCCCTTGTAAGATGTTAGATGTGGAGCTTCTTGTTGATCTCTAGAAAGCAACAAACCCTTGGTTGTGTTGTATGGGATGAATGGTGCAACACCAAAGAATTGAAGCATACCAAATGAAATATCTCCACAAATTCTCTCAAATTTCCAATACCGTGCTTTGATTCCTTGCCCATTAAATTTCATGACATTCAATTTAGGATGATTGAAATATCTCTGATTAAATGTTTCGAATGGTGTCCAAGGATCGCTCTCTTTCACTTTGTAAGATAAGGTCAAATCACTTTCAATAGAATCAGTGAATGAAATTTTTTTGTGTTTCATAAATTCTAAATACTTGAATAAGAACACTGCTTCAAATTCAAGAATAATGTAGGAATGGACTTGTTGGGTAGTGGAATAACCTGCCGATCCAGTGTCATCAATAAGTCCTTCAATTGTATTTGTCGATTGATTGCCATGTTTGGAACTGATAATTCTGAGTGGTGCAATCACATTCACTTCACTACAGGATGACTCCTTGTAGAATGGCTCATCATCATTGGTTGGAACGATCTTTGGAATTACAGAATGATCTTGTCTTGTAATATTCATAATCACCTCCGAATGTTCTGTATTCTTAATGTTAAACTTTAACAATGGTGCATATGCATAACATCTCAACATTCCAAAACCAATTCTTGAGGTCAACCCTTGATTTGGTTGTTTTGTGAAACGGAAATATCTTGCTTCAACTCCTTCCATGAAAACCATAAATACATTTTGCACATTGGTTTGTAGTTTGGTAAATCTGATGCCGAATGGTATCCAAGGATCTCTACTGTTCAATTTGTATTCCATTGTGACTCCTTCAAGAGTTGAAGATTCCTTTCGTCCTCTTCCATCGACTTTTGTGTATTCCTTAATCTTTGGATGTTCTTTCCATGTAAAAAGCGCAAACTTGTAAACTCCATCAAAACAAATTTCACATTGAGGAAGTGTGGAATCATCGGTGACAAAACCATTGGTGCCACTTCCTTGTAATATCTCATCGATCACACTGTTATCTACTTTCTTATGATCAGTGGTGTAAAGTGCAACAGGTTTAATGAGATTAATTTGATCGCAGCCAGAGAATTTAAGTTTGGATTGTTCAGCTACTTCCTGTAGACTTGGAACAACGCCACTCTTTGTTTGAATAGGAACATAGGGAGTGTATCCATAGATTCTAAGCATACCAATTTCAATTAGTTGTCCTTTGGTAACCAATCTCCATTCCTTGGCCTTGATGGGTTTTTCAAAGGTAATGGTGTTCACTAATGGACTAAACTTGATATCCTTTTCTTCAATAGTTTTCAATAATGTCCATGTGTCTGAATCTTTCAATCGATATTCAATATTCACATCTTTCAAATAGTAAACTTTGTTATTGGTAGTATTCAACGTCATGTATTCCAAATATGTGAATAAATAAACATGTGCATATTTCAAAACTATTGATTGATGATAGGAAGAGGTCACAAAACCATAATCACCAGAATCATCCAACAATCCTTCTAAAGTATTTTCACGTCTTGAGTCTCCTTTTGAATCGATCGACTGAACAGGAATAAGGTTAACCTCAGGACCAGTATATTTTGGTTCCCACATTGATAGAGCCTCCTTTAGTGAGAGCACAACACCACTAATGGTCTTAATTGGTACATATGGACAATGGCCATACAATCGAACCATACCTAAGAAGAGATTATCAGGTTTCTCTCTAAAGAATCTCCAAAATCTTGCCTTGATTGGTGTTTCAAATTGAATGGTGTTCAATTGTGGATTGAGTTTGATGTTACTTTTCTCGATGGTAGTCAATGTGGTCCATTGAGCAGTGGCCTCAAGTTTGTACTGAACGGCTGTACCTTCCAATGATGAAATTTGCATACTTTCTCCCAATCTACTTGCTTTGAATTCCAAGAATGTGAACAAATAGACTGCATCGTAAATCAATTCAATCGATGAATTTGCACTTCTACCTGTACAAGCTCCATGTTGTCCAGAATAATCCAAAAGTCCTTCAATGTTATTTTTACCCCAACTATCTTTGGAAGACATTTTCAATTCTACTGGTGGAACAACATTTACATCTTCAGTGGATGGGTATTTTGGTTCGAGGCTATCTTGTTGTGAAGGTGTGAATGAAGTGCTTGATTGAGTAACAACAACATTACTAACAGTTGGAACTGTTGATTGAGTGACTACTACTGGTTGTTGTGGTAATGGTTGTGGAGGTTGCTGCTGTGGTTGTTGTTGAAATGGAGTTGTAGCTTGAACAGATGTTACAACTGGAGTGACTGGAGTGTGAGGTGTGGCAACAGATTGAGGTTGAACGACTCCGGTCTTGGTTTTAATGGCAACATATGGAGAATAGCCAAAGAGTCTAAGCATTCCAAAGAAGATTCCAGCTGTGTCCAACTTGAAGAATCTCCAGTATCTGGCCTTAATTGGATTAGGGAAATGGATGAAAACACTTTCCGGGTTGAGTTTGACATGTGATCTTTCGATAGTGGCCAACACGGACCATTCATCATCTTCTTTTACCTTGTATTGAACTTGAGTATCTTTCAAGAATTGCCATTGCATACTTTCGCCCAATCGACATGTCTTATACTCCAAGAATGTAAACAAGTGAACTCGATCAAAGGTCAAGGTAATATGTTGATTGTTTCCAGTACCTGTGCAAACACCATATTTTCCTGTATCATCTAAGAGACCCTCAATGGTGTTATCACCCCAACTATCTTTTGAAGTCATCTTCATTTCAATAGGTGCGATCACATTAACCTCACCGCTTGTGTGGAGAGGTTCATTCAAATCCTTCACTGCTACTGATGATGGTTCACTACCGTTGCCTGAGGATCCAGAAGAAGTTTCTTGAATGATCATTCCAGTTTTTGTTTTGATGTTCACAGCAGGAGCATCAAAAGCAAACATTCTCAATTTGCCAAAAGCAACCTCCTTGTTTCCAAAACAATCAAATTTCCAATATCTTGCTTGGACATTCAAGGTTACCTTTTGAAGTCCGTAACCATCTCTGAAGGAATACAAATCAGTCCATGGATCAGTTTCATTGACCCTGTAGCTCACGTCGGTTCCTCTCACACGTTGTTGATCATTGGGATATCTCTTGTTTTCGGTACACTCGAGATGAGAAAAGTTATAAACTCGGTCGAATTTCAACTCAATGCATGGTTTGTTTACAAACGTTGTAGAGCATCCATAATCACCACTTTCATCGAGTAGTCCTTCAATTGTGTTGTCTGATTTGTTGCATGCATTGCGAACAATTAATTCGGTGGGAGCTACCACGAAAGGAATTTTCATCTTGTAAAATGCCGACTCGGTATCGATATTGATGGAGGTAATGATCTGATGATATTTTTTGTGTATTTATATTTTTGGGGAAAAATGAGCCATTTCGATGTATTTCAAGAAACATCGTGGTGTTCTTCTTGTGGGGAACAAGGGAGGAACAAGACATGGACGGTTACTTTTGTGAATGAATGTTCGGAGAGGAAGGGTTTTTTATCTTGTTACATTCACTCTTCAATTCAAGGTCTCTTCCAAACCTACTGGAAACTGTGATCTCATACATACCAGTAACCTACTGGAAGTTAATGAATGTTGTCACAAATTCAAACATTGAACATTCAGCAGGGAATTACAGTGAAGTCTTGATATTCAAAATCTTTATACCTTATATTGGGAAACAACTGTGCATTCCCACTAAGAGTATTGACTGATGAATTAAATTTTGGTACAGAACTTCGAATTCCAAAGTAATTCAACATTCTACTACGTCACATGGAAAAGATTTTCACCAAGTTCATAAAAGAGAATTTACTTTACAATATTTGCGTCGTGCTTAAATAAATCTGCAAGAAATCCAAAATCCATCTCACTTTCCTCATCAGATGTGGAATTAATCCTTTGAATTTGTGCAACAAGATCATTCATGGAAACCTTTCCAATAAATAATTTCTTAACTTTCTGATACAAGTCATCAATAAAATTAACAAGTGATTTGTTGAAGACTTTCAAAAGTACAACAAAAAGCAACCACACCATATTCAATGCCTTCTGAACAGTGTCAATCAACGGTTTGGTAGAATTTAATAGAAACTTGATGAAAGTTTTTAAATAACCATCAAAATTATATCTGAATGAATCCTTTCCAGTAAATAGTGCAACAATTTCTACGATTGTAAAATATGACACTTGTAAAACGTCAACAATTAACAATTGTTTGGCAAAATTTTCTGTTTAGAACGGCTGGAACGAAGGGTGACAAAAGTATCAACAAGTTCTCATAATTCAAAGTCTTTAACAAATAAACTTCTGAAATTAATTCCCAAATCTTTCCCAAAAATTCGGATATAGTTTCGTCTTGAAAATCAAAAGGAGTTGAAATTGGAACGATCTTATCTTCAAAAAACAACAATGCCAATTGATTAAAATTAATCATATTCTTTGCTTTAGGGAATAATTGCCTCATTTCTCTACGTAGTTCACTGGTTGCATATGGATGGCAATTCATTGTGAAAATGGAAATATCTTTGGGTTTGGGTTTGGGTTTGGGTTTGGGTTTGGGTTTGGGTTTGGGTTTGGGTTTGGGTTTGGGTTTGGGTTTGGGTTTGGGTTTGGGTTTGGGTTTGGGTTTGGGTTTGGGTTTGGGTTTGGGTTTGGGTTTGGGTTTGGGTTTGGGTTTGGGTTTGGGTTTGGGTTTGGGTTTGGGTTTGGGTTTGGGTTTGGGTTTGGGTTTGGGTTTGGGTTTGGGTTTGGGTTTGGGTTTGGGTTTGGGTTTGGGTTTGGGTTTGGGTTTGGGTTTGGGTTTGGGTTTGGGTTTGGGTTTGGGTTTGGGTTTGGGTTTGGGTTTGGGTTTGGGTTTGGGTTTGGGTTTGGGTTTGGGTTTGGGTTTGGGTTTGGGTTTGGGTTTGGGTTTGGGTTTGGGTTTGGGTTTGGGTTTGGGTTTGGGTTTGGGTTTGGGTTTGGGTTTGGGTTTGGGTTTGGGTTTGGGTTTGGGTTTGGGTTTGGGTTTGGGTTTGGGTTTGGGTTTGGGTTTGGGTTTGGGTTTGGGTTTGGGTTTGGGTTTGGGTTTGGGTTTGGGTTTGGGTTTGGGTTTGGGTTTGGGTTTGGGTTTGGGTTTGGGTTTGGGTTTGGGTTTGGGTTTGGGTTTGGGTTTGGGTTTGGGTTTGGGTTTGGGTTTGGGTTTGGGTTTGGGTTTGGGTTTGGGTTTGGGTTTGGGTTTGGGTTTGGGTTTGGGTTTGGGTTTGGGTTTGGGTTTGGGTTTGGGTTTGGGTTTGGGTTTGGGTTTGGGTTTGGGTTTGGGTTTGGGTTTGGGTTTGGGTTTGGGTTTGGGTTTGGGTTTGGGTTTGGGTTTGGGTTTGGGTTTGGGTTTGGGTTTGGGTTTGGGTTTGGGTTTGGGTTTGGGTTTGGGTTTGGGTTTGGGTTTGGGTTTGGGTTTGGGTTTGGGTTTGGGTTTGGGTTTGGGTTTGGGTTTGGGTTTGGGTTTGGGTTTGGGTTTGGGTTTGGGTTTGGGTTTGGGTTTGGGTTTGGGTTTGGGTTTGGGTTTGGGTTTGGGTTTGGGTTTGGGTTTGGGTTTGGGTTTGGGTTTGGGTTTGGGTTTGGGTTTGGGTTTGGGTTTGGGTTTGGGTTTGGGTTTGGGTTTGGGTTTGGGTTTGGGTTTGGGTTTGGGTTTGGGTTTGGGTTTGGGTTTGGGTTTGGGTTTGGGTTTGGGTTTGGGTTTGGGTTTGGGTTTGGGTTTGGGTTTGGGTTTGGGTTTGGGTTTGGGTTTGGGTTTGGGTTTGGGTTTGGGTTTTGGGTTTGGGTTTGGGTTTGGGTTTGGGTTTGGGTTTGGGTTTGGGTTTGGGTTTGGGTTTTGGGTTTGGGTTTGGGTTTGGGTTTGGGTTTGGGTTTGGGTTTGGGTTTGGGTTTGGGTTTGGGTTTGGGTTTGGGTTTGGGTTTGGGTTTGGGTTTGGGTTTGGGTTTGGGTTTGGGTTTGGGTTTGGGTTTGGGTTTGGGTTTGGGTTTGGGTTTGGGTTTTGGGTTTGGGTTTGGGTTTGGGTTTGGGTTTGGGTTTGGGTTTGGGTTTGGGTTTTGGGTTTGGGTTTGGGTTTGGGTTTGGGTTTGGGTTTGGGTTTGGGTTTGGGTTTGGGTTTGGGTTTGGGTTTGGGTTTGGGTTTGGGTTTGGGTTTGGGTTTTGGGTTTGGGTTTGGGTTTGGGTTTGGGTTTGGGTTTGGGTTTGGGTTTGGGTTTGGGTTTGGGTTTGGGTTTTGGGTTTGGGTTTGGGTTTGGGTTTGGGTTTGGGTTTGGGTTTGGGTTTGGGTTTGGGTTTGGGTTTTGGGTTTGGGTTTGGGTTTGGGTTTAGGTTTGGGTTTGGAGTTTAGGTTTAGGTTTGGGTT